TTAATTAATTAATTAATTAATTAGATCCTTATGATATTATGCACAAAATAAATTTGTTTAAATTCAATTCGAACCAATTTGTTCAATTGAATTATCTCTTCAAAAAACATAGTGGAGACCCCAATTCCGAATTCATAGCACCATCAATAAAACGAAGATGCAAAGATTTTTCTTTGAAAACTATATTCACACGATATTTTTTATTAATTATGCCATAATTTAATTGTACTTAGATTTTTTATTTTTGCCCTATATAATCATTGTCCCAACATTTGAAAAATATATAACTCCTATGTATAAGAATGACATTTCAAAATTAACAAACTTTTCAAATTATTTCAAAATTCAAATGTTAATTCGAATTGATAATATATATAATATATGATTAATTAGAATTAATTATTCCCACCCCACGGACCCACTCCACCTAACCTATAAAAAAATTTCAAAATTTGAAAACTTTTCTTGAAATTACACCCCACCCTACTTACTACACTCCAACTTGTAAAAACATTTCAAAAAAAAAAAATTTCTTTTATGGAAATTACACTCCACTCAACCCACCCCAACCCTTTAAAAAATTCAAAAAATATAAAACGTTTTTTTGGAGATTACACCCCAACCCCCACGAAAGCACTCCAGAATTGTGATTAATTGTGTTACCTGTTACCAGATTTTTTTATGACAAGACGTGTTATATGTTACTAACTGTGACCAAATTTATTTTTAGTGTGACTGTCTGTGACCATCTAATTTGTGATCGTATGTAACCAAGTCATTAACATGTGTTATCTATGTCTAATTGTGACCAACATTATTTTCAATGTGATTAAACGTGGCCAAATTTATTTTTAGTATGTATGTTTGTGACCAGATCAATATTAACTGTAACGGTATGTGATCAAATCATAATCGGTCACAATCAACACAGAATCGGTCACAAGTAATTACAAATCACAATTTTTTTAGGTTGAAACTTTTTTATCAGCCGCAAATTATTAAATTAATTGATCACAACTTTTTTTTTTTGTCACCAATCACACATTTTATAAGTCACAACATATTTATCATTGGTGACAAATTCTCAAATTGATTGGTCACAACTTGTCGATCACTGATTATCAAATTAATTGGTCACAAGTGCTTTCTCGATGAAAAATTGTTAAATTAATAAGTCACAACTTGATTCTCCGTCACAAATTATCAAACTAACCGGTCACAAATTATATAATTAATAGGTCACAACTTATGTCTCGATCACAAATTATCAAATGAATCACAATTAACCAATTAAATGGTCACAAATTATCATTTTATCTCCCCCACCTAACACCACTCCCTTTCACCACCGCCACCACTACTATCACTAGAACTTTCAATAATCCCCAACCAACACCACCACCACCACCACATGAAGCTCAATAGATTCACACACTTCCCACAGATTCGTACACATCACCTATGGTCCACCACTCAGATCTGCACAACCATAGGAGATCACATACCAGCACTTGAGGACACCATCACACAGACGCTCTACACAACAACACAGATCTACACAACCACCGGAGATCACGTACCAACGACAAAGATACCACCGCACAGACGCCTTTACACAGCAACGAAGACCATTGGAGCGTCGCTTATGCCGCTACTCAAAGAGGTTGAACAATGGTGAAAACAAATGAAGACAGAGGCATCACCGCACAACGAGAGCAATGTCGCTGCGGTTGTGACGGTATCGCCGACGGTGGTTTGTGATAGAGAGAAGTGAGGAAATATAGGGAGAGAATGAAGATAGTAGAGAGAGAAGATAAGGAAAGATGATTAGAGTTTGGAAATGAAATTGGGTTAGAATGAATGGGGGTGGGGTGAATATTTAGATTAAATTAAATTTTATAATATTCTTATTAATATTTAAAAGATGAATTATCACCTGATTATTGAAGAAAAACTATTAATATTTGATTTTTGAAATTAAAACTTTAGAGGTAGGGTTTGGGGTAATTTCCCTCTATTTTTTTAACATATTCTTACTCTAATAATAGTTGTTGTTTGAAATGTCGATTAAGAGGGTGTAAAACGACTTATTTGCATTTTTTATATATATTAATATTTTTAAAAGTCAATAAAAAGAAAAATATTCTCTCATCTCAAAGTATGTAAATAATATATTTTGATAAAAATCATCTTTAAGGATGAGACGTATTAATTAATTAAAGGTTAAAGATAAAAATTCGATGAAAATAAAAAGTAAGGAACAAGTGTTATAATAAGAAATCTTGAGAGTTTAAAATACAATTAAAATAAAATGCAATATGTGAACATAAGAGCATGATCAATGGTTGTGTAAAATTAAGTGTAAATTGATTTTTTCAAAATCACTTTCGCATCTTCATATACATTCTGATGTATCTAAATTCAAATTTTGCTTCAGTAGAAAGATCTAAATCCACTTTTCACCTTTTGTGAATATAAAAAAAATATGTTACATTTTCTATAGTAAAATACATTTTACATTTCTTTTGTAAATCTTCATCGGAGAGGTTTTCGACCATTTCGGAAATCTAAATCAAAATTTAGATTTATTTTACACCAAGATTGAAAACGCTCTAATTAACCTTCTTTCGTTCCTCTCCCGACTATCGCGTCGCTGATCATGTTAACAAGAGACGTGTCAATCACTGGTGGGACAGTAATATTTACATTTTATTCAATGCTTCGCAAAGAAGCAATAACACCATTGAGATTCCACATGGAATCTTCCAACCACACTCTCAAGACTACGATATTTCAATGGTCCTTACGACACTCGAACCTGATTTCTAACAAACTCTAGACTGAAAAGCCGCATGCAGTGTATAGGATAACTCACCGTGTACATGGAATGGTTGATTGAGTTAACACAGCACCTATATGGCCATTCTTTTTTTCATCTTCCAATGAAATTGTGCCATGTGTTATCTGTAAAAAAAATTGTGAAAAAATTATGTACTTGTAGGCTTGTAGCATTGTCACGGTGTATAACTTTTTGAATCCCAATAAAATCTTTCTTTATTTATAATTCGCGTTTAAGCCATTGTTTGGTACTCATTATTTTAAAAATATATTTTTTTCTCTTATTTTTAACAACACATTTTTCAATATTATAATATTACATGTAAACCCAAAGTTTTCTTTATTTTTTAATCATACATTCTCCATCAACTCACTATTTCAAAATGCATATTTTGCAAAAATTGGGGTTCAAACATGTTCTAAAATACTTTTGTGGTTATAAAGTTTATATGTTTTCTCGTTAAAGGTGAAATTTCTCTCTAGATATTTAAATTTCTTTGCCAAATGTATACGTAATAATAAAATGTGTATGTGTACGTTTGTTATGGCTTTAATGATGATTATGTGTTTTTTTTTTTTTTGCATCTAATTTGGTGAAAATCTTTGTAAGAGCTATAAATTTATTTTGTAATGTATGAACTTTAAGCTTGCTGTGTATTGCGTTCCGCTAAACTAATCATAGCATCAGTTTCTGACTGGTTTTCAAGGTTTTGTTCTTCTTCTTCTTCTTTTTTTTTTTTTTAATTAAGTGAATAGTTTTATTAACACTGTTTAAACTGGTGGATATTTGTGTGGTGATTCCTTCTAATTTGAGTAGTTTCTTAGTAAGTAGCATGTTTTAATGGTGAATTCTTCACATTCAAAAGATTAAAATCTCAACACATTAGTGTTTGAATGCTACTAAGGGATACATTATTCAAATTCCATTTATCCTAATTAATTGATGTGCATTGCAAGCAATTTGTACCGGGAATGGAAGCATTTTATATTTAACTCCAGTTGGAGCTGCTTTCTTTACTGATTACTTTTTGTGCTGGTTTATGTCGATGTTACTATGTTATAAGGCATCATGTATAAGGGAATACATGTCCTACATTTAAATTAGTATTCTTGATAGTTCATGTTTCTTCAAGAACTTTTTCCTTGATGCTATGAATATTAAGTAAAGCAAGGACATAGAAATGAGCCAGTAGTTTAGGATCTTAGTAATGAATCGTTCTTGTTATTTGAAGCACATCAGAAGCAAAGTCAAGGGAAACCTGGAAACTTGACCTATAAGATTACGTGAAAAGGGATGCAAATATGAAATTTGGGAAGGAGTTCGAGAAGCAAAAAGTTCCGGAGTGGACAAAAGCCTATGTAGTCTATAATAGACTAAAACGAATATTACAAGAGATACGCCGAATCAAACAAAGTAATCTACCTCCAGCCCCACTGAGAGACTCTCAACAAAGATCAATACGATGCAGAACCATCAATGGTTTAAACTTAGAAGCATGCAATATACAGAATCCAGAGGACATTGAGAAACCAGTAATAACTGTTGATACAATAGAAAGTTATACAACACCAGGTTACTGGTGTCCCCTGAAGAAATGGAAGATAATGAGATAACCTTCTTCAAAAAACTTGACAATGAGCTGAATAAAAGTAAATACCTTCTACAAGGACAAGGTCGAGGAAGTAGCGAGGGAAGCAGCTTTGCTCAATACACAAATGGATGCTTTGATTGCATTAAGGATCAAGGTGATGAATCTAGGTTTTCATGGATCTAGTTCCCTGAGACGTCTTTCCACAGATATTGACAATTTGCCCCCCTCGAAGGTTACATCTCCAAAAAGAGCCAAGACTAACAACTCATCATTTTGAATGTTTCTCCTATGTTATAATGAATGAACTCGTTAAATTGTTGAATTATTGGGTTTTCAATGCAAATTGCAGCTGTACAATTGGACTGGTTGATAGAAAACAGTGTCAATTGAATCAAGTTAGTTCATATAACATCTTAAAAGCAACAATAATTATAATTCTTAAAAACACATAATTTGAGTGATTGCGTTTGTCTTATGCTAAAATGTGACGCAAGGGAAGATTATAGGAAAGACAAAAATCCACCCGAAAAGAATTTCAACGAAGAGAAAATCAAGAAAACTTTATAANTTTCGGACCCGGGTTTGCCATAAATCTCCTCAAAATGCTAATAGCATGTGCAACATCCGATCTAGTACATACCATAGTATACATAACTGATCCAACCGCATTAGCATAAGGTACCTTTTGAATGTATTTAATATCAGACTCATCATGTGGACATTGCCCTTTACTCAATTTAAAATGACAAGTAAGAGGCAATGTAACAGGCTTAAAATCATGCATAGCAAATTTAGATAACACCTTTTTCACATAGTCAGATTGGGTTGAAAGAAGAGATTGTTGTGATCTATCTCTTTTAATATCCATCCCTAAAATTCTCTTAGCATGCCCTAAGTCTTTCATTTCAAATTCAGTACTTAAAGCCTTTTTGATGTCATATATATAACTCATTTTATGTCCAACCAATAGTATATCATCAACATACAAAAGTAAGGAAACAATCACATCATTCTTATCATTTCTTTTAAAATAAAGACAATGATCAAAGACATTTCGCACAAAGCCAATAGAAGACACATTATTGTCAAATCTAATATACCATTGCCTAGGTGATTGTTTCAAACCATACAAAGATCTATTAAAGAAACAAACATGATTAGGCATTTTTGAATCAATAAAACCTTGAGGTTGCACCATATAAATCATTTCATCCAAATCACCATACAAGAAAGCAGTTTTAACATCTATTTGTTCAAACTCTAAATCATATTGAACAATTAAAGCAAGCATGACTCTTATAATAGTATATTTCACAACAGGAGAGAAAATTTCATTATAATCAATACCAGGCTTCTATGTAAATCCCTTTGCAACAAGTCTAGCCTTAAACCTAAGAGGCTCTTTAGAAGAACTACCCTCCTTAATACTATAAACTCACTTACAACCTTCCAAAGACTTATCCTTAGGTTTAGGAACTAACTTCCATGTATCATTCTTGACAAGAGACTTCATCTCTTCTTCCATAGCACCTAGCCACTTTTTAGATTGTTGATAGCTCAAAGCCTCTTCATAAGATTTAGTCTCCTTGAAGGCTAAGTCTTTGATGCAGGGGAAGATTATAGGGATGACAAAAATCTCACAAAAAGAATTTCAATCAGGAGAAATTCAAAAAAAAATTTATTTCATTTAAAACTGAGCTGCCTCAAAGGGCTTACAACATTTAAATAGCGAAACCTTAAAAAAATTCGGAAAAAAATTACCTAATAATAAAAAATTTTTTTTTTTTCAAAAATGGAAAAAAATGAAATAATGACGGATCTTGATTCTCCTAATCATCAGGATCATCCCCCAACAAAAGGAAATCAAATCCTAGTTTATTTGACTAAGATATTGTCAAAACAAAAATTATCATAAACGGTAAAAACGCTTAATTGAGGGTCTAAACGATGGGATTTGTCCAAAATTTGATGTGCATCAGGGCCAAAGGCCCTGAGTTGTGATCATTGGCTCGTTTTCAATCAAATTAGACTACCAATTCGCCAAAAACGAACAAATCCAAAATTGAATGAAATTATTATTTTGCCTTCATCATTCTCCACAAGTTGAGAAAAATTTGCCCTCAAATTTGACGGGGTAGAAACCTCATCATCATCAGAATTATCACCATGAAATAGCGGCTCTGGTGGCAATCCATCTGGAAGCTCTTCCGGGAAGTCTTCATGAAATTCCTCTAGCAATGACTAAATCCTGCTAGTGACCTCCTGCTCACTATCAACTGACTTTTCCACCAGCACATACACTATCCCATATCCTTCCATATTTATCTTGAACTTCACTCTGGTCAGTAAATTGATGTCATTCCCAACTGTTTTTACTGAGCCCTTACTGGAAGCAACAAACTTTTCTTTTCCCCAATAGTACACATCGACTGAAAGAGATTAGTACGTAACCAGTCAATGTTATTTTCCAGGGAAGTCAGAAAATTCCGCCTCACCACCAATGCCCGACCCACATCAACAACCAAAAACTCTTCCTTCTCTGCTGCTTCTTCAATGTCTTCATTGTCAAATACAGGAGGACATTCATAATCAAACTCTTCATCATCTGTTGCTTCTTCAATGTCTTCATTGTCAAATACAGGCGGACCTTCATAATCAAACTCTTCCTCCTCAGATAGATAACATTGGTGGTAGAGATTTTCAAAAACAGCGGAATAAGAATCGAGATCCGGAGACCTCACGATTCTCCAAATCGCGCACCGCTAGGCGCTGGGTTAACTTTGCAACTTCCCTCTGAATATTACGATCATGGTGTTGGACTTCCTCAATCGGAACCTGCCCACGACGACCATGACCTCCAGGCGCATGTTACTGCGGCATAAGTGCAGCAACTTGTTGTGTCGCAACTCCACTTGTTGACGCAGCTGTGTGATTTTATCACGTCTATGTACCTCCTTTACTAGGGCTTCACAAGCTTCTTGACGTCTCCTTGACAGCATGGTGAATGAACGGCTTTGGCTCTGATACCAACTGACGTAGGGGAAGATTATAGGAAAGACAAAAATCCACACAAAAAGAATTTCAACGAAGAGAAATTCAAGAAAATTTTATTTCATTCAAAATTGGGTTGCCTCAAAGGGCTTACAACGTTTAAATAGTGAAAAACTTAAGAAAATTCGAAAAAATTACATAATAATGAGAAAATATAATTTTTTCCAAAAATGGAAAAAAAAATGAGATAATGACGAATCTTGATTCTCCCAATCACCAGGATCATCCCCCAACAAACCAAAATCAAATCCGAGTTTATTTGATTAAAATATTGTCAAAACAAAAATTACCATAAACGGCAAAAACGCTTAATTGAAGGCCTAAACGACGGAATCTGCCCAATATCTAACGTGCTTCAGGGCCAAAGGCCCTGAATTGTAATCATTAGCCCGTTTTCAATCTAATTAGACTAGCAATTCACTAAAAACGGACAAACCCGAAATTAAATAGAATTATTATTTTACCTTCATCAAAATGTTAGCATTGTAGAGATATTTCTAAATAGTTAATTAATTAAGACTTCTATAGGTTCTTTTAATAGTTTTGATTCTGAAATGTTCCGTCATTTTAGAACTGTGTTAAATCCAATTGCTCAGTGTGTATGATTGGAATAGAATAGTTCACAAGTATTCCAAGATCTCGAAGAAGAAGCTAATATGGTGATTTTGAACTTATGAATTGCACAGGTTGATTCAGTTTTGAAATACCTCCACAGAGCATTGCCCAAATTGTGTAGTAATAATAACACCAATCTTATAACAAGTATAGACTTTCATTTAATTTGTGGCTTGAATAGTCCATTTACATGCATGAGCAAGTCAAATGGATATGAGACTTGGAGTTGAAATGAGTTGCAATCAGCAAGGACCTGACTCTCCTAGTGGTAACGCAGTTATAATCATGATATTTCAATATTACTTTTACTAAATAATTTTTTATCTTCGCAGTTCAAAAGCTTGCTGATTCTCAGTGGTAGAGAAAATGAATTTAACACCAGACATGGAATTGAGATGCCAAGGAAATGAATCTGATATCCATTCTGAATCCGATAGTGCTACTGTGCCACACTATATTGGTGCTTCAATAGATGAGGCCAATTCCAGCAAATGCAAAACAACTCAGTTAGAAATCCTTGATTGAGTTAAGATTTCCAATAATTGTGAAAGTCCAATATCAACAATTAAAGGAGTTTTCAAGGACTCCGAAGAGAAGGATTTGAGTTCTAACACAAGCATCGCCTTCTAAAGAACTACAGGTAGTGTCTAGCAAAAATGTGTGTACGAATTATTCTCTTTCAAAAATTATTTTGTGCTCTCGTTTCTTCTGATTTGTAAACAGCTTCATGAATTTTTCCAAGATCCTAAAGAAATGTGGAAAGGTAATGTTGAGTGGGTCCAAATGCTATTATATTTCCTTATGGTTGTATTTGCATTCAAAATGTAAGAACAACAGAGACATCTTACACTTATCATAACAAGAAAAAGAAACGGAATTCTCAAAGCCTTTGTGTGGACTCCTTCTAATCATTCATGTACAAGTTATTTACTTGTTGCACCAATGCAGAACACATCTAGGAGGGTTGCAAGATCATACATGAAAATTGTGGATAACTCTTACATTGGAAGCTGTGATGAGGTTTGTCTAATTTGCTTATTCTTCTATATAATGGAAGGTATATTAAGATTGTTGGCTATTTGAATATTTCTAACTACAAATTCAAAGCATGTTTTCATTGATTGATTCAATATTATCTGTTGAGCTCCGGGTGGAACATTATCGATAAAAAGGTGAAGTGATCATGGAACTTCAACATTCTTAGGCTTCTTTTGATCCCATCTTAAATCAATTAGCCAGCATAGATATATGGAATTTTGGAGTAACGAAATAGCAAGTTCAAAACATTTTAAATCAGTTTGTATGAGATCAATTAAGTTACTTTGACCATTCAAATAAATTTTAAATCTCTAAAATTTGCATTCTTCTTTATAAAAACCATTGATTTGGGAAGCTTCATAAACTGGCAATAAATTCTCGCTTTTGAACAAATGACAATAATTTGATTTCTCACTTCATGTAATCTCAGGTTACCACTCTCATGGATTGGGTGAAAGTTACCTTCATTAAGCACTTTTCAAATTCTAACCGTCGAGAAGGCATGAAATTGCCGAGGCCAAAACAGAGGAGAGAAAAACATCGTATAACGTTTTTCTCGGGTAATTTACTTAT